ACACACACACACATCTATGTATGCTATGTATGTATACACCCAAGCGTGAAAATACGCACATAAACAGACACACAAACACACTCACATACACACAAAAGGACTTAAAACACTTGCAGGCAAAGAGGGTAGAATTTCAGTACTCATAAAAGATTTTATTATTGTTTTGTCTATGCTTTTAAGAAGGGACTTGAGAAGGAGAGCAAGCCCCATCATGGAGGGCCCAGACAACAGTATCAGTAACAAACACAAACAAGGGACGAGACGAGAGTATCAAACACATACAACATACGAAGGTATCAGTTACACAAACAACAGATAAGACGAGGGTATAAAAAACACATACAACAGACGAGGGTATCACTAACGAACAACGGATGAGACGAGAGTATCAAACACAAACAACAGTCAGACGAAGGTATCACTAACACGAACAACAGATGAGACGGGTGTATCAAACACATACAACAGTCAGACAAAGGTATCACTAACACGAACAACAGACAAAAATATCCCTAAACATGAACGATGGACGAGACAACGAGGTATCACTAACATCAACAAAGTGTTCATTGTTAATCAATATTGTCGTTGTTATTATCAAGAACTGACGAATTACAGCTGGGCACAGGAGTTCATTATGCAACAAACAAACAAAACAAAACAAAACTTTGTATAAATTTGAAGTAACAACTGATGAAGGCATGCACGCCGGCCACGACACTCTCTCATCTTTCTTTTCACCGTCATTCATCTGGTAAAATTATGGTAAAACAAAGATATTGTGTAACAAGGCACCGCCTGCATGCGTGGTGCTAAGGCTAACTCATGATATTATACATTGTTTCTCAACACGACATGCTAAAAAGATGTAAATGTAATGCACATTAATTATAAAAGGTCTCTATATATTTATGCATCTCAATACAATGTAACAAATTTAACATTTTTGTTATGCGTAAAAAGATGTTATGTGTACATTTCCCAACACAATGAGAAATACATGACTCACACAAAGCCAGTTGTGTGTACTGTCAGAAAGCTGATCACATGTAATAAGCCCAGGCAGAAACATTAAAAAAAATTTAAATTAAAAAAAAAAAGTTTCATTCTTGTAACAATTGTATCAAAATTATTTAGGCTTATCTTTTCTAGCTTCCCCCCCCCCCCCCCCCCAACATTAAAATTCAAATTTCAAGAAAATATTTCTGGAACACATACAACTAAAATGACGGATTAATTAAGAAAGCGTACTTTAAAAATTAAAAAAAAAAAAATTTTTAAAATTGGGGCTTACAACATCTGAAGAGCTGGCTGAAAGTACGCTTCTCATATCATTGTGAAAGATGTAACATACAAAGTCTCATGCGTCATTCAGCACATTGTAAAAGATGTAATACAAATATAACAGTCTTATGCGTATAAAAGATGTAAAGGTAGACTTTGACGACATAATGAACAGAAACACACTGGGTAA